AACAGGAACAAAGAAGTGACAAGCAAAGTGGGTTCAAAAAACAGAAAAAAAAGAAGAAAAAAGAAGAAGAGAAGAGCCAACAAAGGGAAGTTTCTCAAATCTTTTCCGTTACATGTCTTGCTAGTGTGCATAAAATAGTGCCACTGCTCTTCACATTTTTCCTCCTAGGATAAAAGTCCTAGTCTGATGGATTTTCTTCCTAATCAAATCTTAGTCTGATGAATTTTTCTCCTAATATAGAAGACCTAGTCTGATGAAACTTTCTCCTAGGATCAAAATCTTCGATATGATGAAAAAGCAAAAGAAAAAGGTAGACAACCCAAAGCAATAATTTCTGCTAACTCCTCACGATCCTTCATTTTATCATATTTCATAAGTCCTCCAGTCATAGCGTTTAGAGTTGCTTGATTTCCATCTCCATCAGAGCCCTATTGTATAGGATGCTCAATTCTCATATGCCTACTAAGTGTCCCAGTCCCCCCTAATTGTCCTCCAGTCATATGTTTAAAATCACCATTACAAAGTCTGTATTTAACTCTATCAGTACCTACTATTTCGTCAAAAAATTTCTAAACCTAACTTTTTTTTCTCCGATTAGTAGTCGGGGCCACAGGTGGTCTACTACTAGCACCACGACCAACACCCCTACTACCAACTCCAACACTACTAGGTGTAAGTGGTGTCTCGTCTTCGATTTCTAATTCATTATCTTGTATACCGAAATCTTCCTGAAATAATTGTTCATAATCTATATTATCATCAGGTAATGTTTCAGAAATATGTTCAGAGTCATTTAAATTACTACCAGATGCTGAAGTAGTACCTCTTTTCTATTTCTCCGATTAGTAACCTTATTATAAACTCTTTTTGCAGCATTAAATATATTGTAAAAATTTAACTACTAGCAAAAATTAAATATGCAAATAAAATAGTAAATAAGAGAAAGAGTTGGAGGGAGTGCACCGAATTCGGCAATAAATTGAACACTTGATGATTTCGCAAATCCAATGTTACCACGAAGAAACGTCAATTATTCAAACTTCAAACTTCAAATAATAAATAACACGATAAATTAAATTCCAAAAAATGAGAGCCAAATACTTGATTGCACTTTAGGTGAAGAATGAGAGAATGATAATTGAGAATATGAGTTTGAGAAATAAGAGATGAGTGAAGATATGAAAAAGAGAGGGGGAGGGGGGGGTGTATTTATAGTTTTTCAAATGGCTAAATTAGTAATTACAAAAAGTGTTAAATTAAAAAAAAGATGGCCAAAAAAAGGCTATTTGTGCAAAACAGTCGTTGGGCAACGACCCCTTAGCCCAGTTGACCGTTGCCAACGGTAACAATCATTTTAAAAAAAAATAATTGAAACAACTAGCCGTTAACCGGTCTGGGCCGGTTAACCGGTTCTACAGTAAATCTCGTTGACCGGGTTTGACCCGTCCGGTTACCCGGTTGAAGGAAGGTGAACAGACCACCCCCTTACCCCATTAACCCAGCCCACCCGCCCCATTTGTACCGGTCTGGGCCGGTTCCGATTTCAATCGGTTTGGGCCGGTCCCGAAACGGGTTGACCCGGCCCGTTAGACACTCTTAAACTGGAGTTATCTGTTGTTTCCTATTGTTTCGGCAATACTACTCTTTGAGAAACGAAGGGACTATCTGTATACGGTTAAAATCGAGCCCGCTACATGACTTGATTTCCCGGTGAGCCAAACGAGATGTACGTGATCGTAATGGGTCGGAGTCAGAGCGATGAGGGGCTCGGGCAAACCACCTGCACTCGGGGATATCAGGGCCATATCCTCGAGGTCCCATTTGAGGATTGAGACTCCGGAGAGCGTTACCAAACAACCGCACACGACTAACAAAGGGCGTGATGTCCGTGCCTAACCGGATATCACGACGTGAATCTCGGCCCTTATTGGTAGAAAATCAGTGATTGGCGAAACGGAAGATTTTTACCTTTTCTAGAATTGTACTTAGGGTAAAACTCCCCTACTATATAAAGGGAAAAGCTTATTATTCATAAGACAGATTGTAACACGCATATCAAGACAATTTATTTCAATTTCCTTTGTTGTTCAAAGTTCTTATTCTTGTTCTTAAGTTCTTCATAAATATAAGCTTGGAATCAAGGGCAGGTTCTTCATCCAGCCATCAACCGTGCTCGGAATCACCCTCATAATTGGTTTGGTCATCTATTACGTTTTTCATTTGTTTAATCTAACGCTATTAATTACTTGTATTGAATTAATCCATATATTCTTAAAATCACATACAAATTTAATTGTTACCCGTTTTTTAGGGTAAATAACGTTCAAGTTTGTGGTGCAAATTCTAACATTATATTGGCGGTTGGAGGAATTTTTTTTGTTGAGGAAACATGAATATTACATTAATATTAAAGAAGTTCAATAATATTACATTCCATGGAAACACCCACTTAGGATATTTTGATTGCCAAATTCAGCAAACTTAACGCAAACATTATTCGAAATAAGTTTACCAAAATTTTGTTAATACTAATTAATCTCCACATAAAGGCGGTATTAGATAATACTTGCATTAAGTTATACGACATAGAATAAGAATATGTGAATTAATGTTATAAAGATTATATTATTTAAAAAAAATTCATTAGTTATCACTTTTACCATATTACCAATTAATAATTATCATCAGATCAATTACCCAATAAGTAACTAGTTATCTTAATAATTTTAAATTATTCTGCATAAAACTTTGAAGTCTTTTTTTTAACAGAGGGGAAATCTCAAGTTTTTTTCTTAATTTAGAGGAAGTTGTCCAATTTTCTTTAAAATTTCTCCATTTATTTTTTCTAAATTCTAAACAATTTTATTTTGAAAAGGCATATACCTCTAGGGTTTCTTGAATAACCCCATATATAAATTCCCACTATTGTCTCTCTTTAGACCCTCTCTTTCGTTACAGCCTCATACTCTCTCTTCCACACTCTCAAATCTCAATTCCTTTTTACTCTTCAACAATGGCTGTAACCTTCTCAGATCTCCACACTGAATCTGGTCTCAAGTCCGTTAACGACCATCTTTCCGGAAAAACTTATATTTCTGGGTAAGTTTTTTCAGATACTTATAGTGTGTTATTTTCTCCATTTTTTTTTTGTTTTGATTTTATTGATCTTTTTTGGCAGAGATCAATTGACAAAGGACGATATTAAGGTTTATGGGGCAGTTTTGGAGCAACCCAGTTCAGATCTTTACCCCAATGCTAGCCAATGGTACCAAGCTGTTTCTGCAAAACTTGCCTCAAGGTATAATTTTGATTTTTCTAGTTATTTGCCGCTGAAAGTTCAAATTTTAGTGGGTATTTTGTTGTCTTTGTTACTAATGATGAATGTTGGCGATTAGTTTTCCTGGGAAAGCTGTGGGTGTGAGAATTGGAAGCCAAGCTGCTCCTGCTGAAGCTGCTCCAGCTAAGGAAGCTGCTAAGGTAATTAATTTCATGTTTAAGTATGTATTTTTCTCCACCTTTGTTTTGCTTATACTGTGCAGATGAGATCTGTAGCAATAAGTTTAATTTGCAATTAATTTTATCCCAAGTAATTTGAATGTTGGAATTTGTGTTGGAGAAATAGGTTTGTTATTAAATATGAAGATCCAAAGTTTGTTCTAATAATCTCTAGGGATGTTTATTATATTTGAGGTGAAGAGTGTGTTAAATTAATGAAAAGATTAACATGTGTTCTGAATGTTGTCTAAGTAAGATTTAACTCTTGTTGTGACAATAAAACTCCATCAGTTGACATTGATTTTGTTTTTCTGTTGACTGTATTGAGAACAGTTGGTGAAAAAGACCCCTTAAGTTTTTTGTAAAGAAAAAAGGCGTTGTTACGATCTAGAAGTAATTAGGGGACTTTAATTTAAAGAGACACTTGAGTCTTTTTAAGAGAAAAGGACTCTACTTCTTTTTCCATAAAAGTAAAGACACACTTTTAGGATTGAAGATTTATGAGGTTTGACAGCATATTTTAGAAGGCCCCAGGAGCTTTTTTTATTTACACAAAGGCCTCTAGATATGAAAGCCAAAACTCTACCAAATAAAAGAAATCCCTAGTTTTTCATCTCTCCTATTTTTTTTGTACAAACAGCCACAAGTTGTCTTAAACAAGCCCATATTTTTTATTTATACTAAAACAACACAGGTTATTTAAACACCATAATTTGCTCATACAAGTAATATGCAAACAACCACAAATTCTTTATATAAACAGCCACATGTTGTTTAAACAAACCAAGGAGTAAATAACCATGAGTTGTTTTGGGCTGTTAAAACTACCTGTGGTTGTTTTAATCAACTACCGTATCTGCAAAAATCTTGAAAAATCGAATGAGACCAATCAAAGAAAAGAAGAAAAGTTTAAAATTTTCGAAGAGGGATTTCCAAAAGATGGCCAAAACTTCAGGAAATAGAGTGGGATGGATACATGTGGTTGCCAGTGGGGTTGTTCCCGGTGATGTTCATTGTCAGTCCAGTGGTCCTCATTTCTGATCTGTAAGGACCTTTTATTATAAAAGAAGAGGAAGAAGAAGAGGAGAGAGGGAACGACTGGGGTTTTGGGATTTCAAAGTTGTGAGATTTGGGTTGGAGGAATGAGATCTTATTATATATATTACCCGGGAACTTTAATGTTTACTCCCAATATTTTAACAATTATTTAGTCCCCATGTCCCTTAATCATCCACTAAGTTAATCAAGGCCCCTCTTCTCTAATTTTCTTTTACGAGGCCTCTTTACCCAAATCTCCTCAAGTGATTAAGGACATGAGGGTCAGATTATAATTACTAAAACGCTTTTGGGCGGGGTGGGTGTAAACATTAAAACTTTCCATAAATATAAAAGTCTCACTTCCCTACATAAAATCTCAAATTTGAAATTCCCATTCTTCTTCTTCTTCATAAGTGGTTTATGGTTTAAACAACCTTAACCACTCGTGGTTGTTTAGTGTAAAAGATGTGGATGTTTAAACAATCACACTGGCTGTTTAAACGACCACAAACAACCTGTGATTGGTTGTTTTGGTTTAAACAACTTGTGTTGAATTGAATGGAAAACAATAAAAAAAGAAGAGGATAATATTGATGAGGCAGTGAGTTGACTTCCACTACAGTGGCACCCAGTACATTAAACAAAAAAAATGCTAGTCAAAATTACCTTGAAGGGTTTGTTGATTTATATAGTTCAAAAAATTAAATTTACTATATTTTTTCTGTAAACTGCCACTCTTACTCAATGTTGCTCAACTGATTTACTTTATCATGTAGTACCGTTATAGAGGGTGATGTCCATTCATTTGGTATGGAACTACTGAATTTCTCTATGACCAAGAGTAGTTTGACACGTTGGATGTCTGCAGGCTGCAGATGATGATGACGATGATGATATTGATCTCTTTGGAGAAGAGACAGAGGAGGAAAAGAAGGCAGCAGAAGCAAGGGAGGCTACTAAGGCATCTACCAAGAAGAAAGAGAGTGAGCCTTTGACATATCCTTCTCAATTGCTTTTCATAATAGATAATGCACAATTACTTTGATATGTGCAAGACATCCCTTTAAAGTGATTGCCAGAATAAAAAACAAAGATAAGAAGCTGATGTGTAAGGAAAATGCAGAACATATTAGAACTGGAATATAGAAGGAAAATATATTCCTTCGCACATTTGATATGTGCAAGACATCCCTTTAAAGTGATTGCCAAAATAAAAAACAAAGATAAGAAGCTGATGTGTAAGGAAAATGCAGAACATATTAGAACTGGAATATAGAAGGAAAATATATTCCTTCGCACAAGTAAATCTTCAATCAGCTTAATTCTGTTATGTTCTTACTTTTGCAGGTGGAAAGTCATCCATTCTTTTGGACGTTAAGCCTTGGGATGATGAAACTGACATGAAGAAGCTGGAGGAGGCTGTTCGCAGTGTTCAGCAAGAAGGGCTTACTTGGGGAGCATGTATGACTTATTATTTCCATTGCACACTCTTTAACCGTGCTCTAACCGATTATATATTAGCATTTGGTTACTGACAATCTGTTCTTCTTGCGTCTCTTTGACAGCCAAATTGGTCCCAGTTGGCTACGGGATTAAGAAATTGCAGATCATGCTTACCATCGTGGATGACCTTGTCTCGGTGGACACTCTCGTTGAGGAAAAACTAACAGTAGAGCCTATCAATGAATATGTGCAGAGCTGTGATATTGTTGCCTTCAACAAAATTTAAGTTCAATGCAACAAGGAACTTTCTATGTTGGCTTGAGCCTTCTTCAGGCTGTAATTTTGCTAGTTTTTGAGTTATGATACTTTATATTTGTTTCTTCTAGCATTTTTATCCTCCATCTTCTGGTCAACCGTGTTTAGTGGTGAGAATGGGTATTTAAGTTACTTCAATGTTACTCTATATCTTGAGAATTAAGCTAATCCACCATTTTTCTTGTTGGTTTATTTGACTGCCTGCTGTTTGGAGCTTTAGAACCTATTCCATGGTTTTTAATTTTTTTTTTCCTCAATTGAAGTTCAATATTAAACGTGTCTCAATTTTTACAAAAAATATCACCTCTAAGTTCTCTTTTTATTTTTTTCTGTGTCGACTCACACACTGCCAAACTCCTAGAATGCTTAGTATTAGTTTAACCATTGCTTACGAATATTTGAATGGAGCTAGTTGTATGTGATTTTTAAGGCGAAATGACTTCCTGGCCACTTAAACTTGTAGGGCTTTTGAAAGCCGATATACAAACTTTAGTCTTTCCCATTTACATTCAAACTCGTGAAACCTATAACAAATAAACACCATTGACCCTACGCGCGTGTATTACACATTGACAGACGTGTCCATCCAGTCAGCAAATGACCAATGGGTTTATTTGAGGTATTTTTTTCGAGCATAAATCCGCCATTGTTGTGCAGTGAAGAGCTTCAAAGCCTCTAATGAAGATGGAAAAAAATGGGACAGATCTTTTTATCTTGGGTGTGTCCGAATCCGAATCTAACAGGAAGAAACGAAGCATATACGATTGTCATCAAATTCTTCGACAAATCACAAAATGGAGGGTTGGGATCCGAATACGAAATCAACCCTCACGCAGATCCCGTTGTTGACCACCAAAGCCGGTCCACGCGACGGGGAGGAGGGACTGGTTGGGTTCGTTTGGTCGTTGCTGTGGGTTATGGGTGACGCCTTGTTTCTGGTCGTTGGGGATGGTGCGAAGATACATGGGTGGTGTGTAGAAGACGAGATCCGGGGGGGGGGGGGGGAGGGGGGTGTTTCTATTATGGAAATCGGCACACACGCGCCATTTGTGTGACTTGTACGCACTATGTCCATGTAAGATAACCTACCGCCACATAAGCATAGTCAAGGTCAAAGGTGTTTATTTGTTATAGGTTTCACGAGTTTGAGTGTTTAAATGGGAAAGACTAAAGTTTATGTATCGGCTTTCAAAAGCCCTATAAGTTTAAGTGGCCAGGAAGCCATTTCGCCTGATTTTTAGTTATGGTACTTTTATTTATGTTGGACAAACTGTTATCTGATAATGTATCTCACCTAATCTGGCAGATAGTTTTGGTGTATATTAGTCTTTGCCATTTTGTTTAGATTAGATACATTATTATGACAAAGCCCTTATTGTCTACTTCAATATCCCTCTTAATAGGGTAATAGAGAAAGTGAGAATATGTTGGGGCAAATACAGTCTAAACGTCATGTAAATTGTATCCGTAGCAGTTCAACCTTAAGGATTCGTGAATAGCACTGAGCTTGCGCTCGACCAAGTGACCATCTTGTCATCATAATCTTGAGTCATTTTGATTCAATATATTGCATTTCATAATATAATCTCAAAACAGTCAACTATATGTCAAGTGCAAATATAACCAAAAGAACTATTCCCATACATGAAGCAAACTCTAGAAGCACATAACACATAATTTTTTGTAGACAACACAGCCGAAAACATAAAACAAGAAATGTGGATCACCAAGATGCTAACTCAATGGTAGATTGGCCACATATATCAATCTTCAAAAATATTGGACAAGGAAGCCAGTAACAACAATATATATTGTATTGGGTGATACCCTTTTTTGCTTGAGCCCGACCGGGTTGGGTCCGGTCCGGAGCGAGTCGGGGCCATCGAACCCGACCTGGATGCAAGGTAGAACGACGGCCACGTCTACAACCGAGGTCGAGTCATTTCGAGACCGTTACAGAGCTCGATATGAGTCACCACCGGATGGAGAAACACACAAGGTCGGAAGCCGGACTCGTAACGGATAACCAAGCGTCGCCGGATATCTCGCCCAAACGTGATTTTCTCAACCACTTCAGGCCATTAAGGCGTAATTACAGGGATCCACGATGTAATCAATTTACCTACCTTATTTTTACCCTTAATCAGAATGTATAAAAGGAGATCTCTCTAAATTCTTGTAGGCATCAAGCACAATTGTTCTAAGCAATATTATATTCTGCGATTATTTACTTTAACAGCAATTGTTGAGTCTTTATCTTTATTTTTCCTCGACCTAAAAACCTTTTGTATCTTTTAGTTCACGGATCCTTAAAACCCCATATAAATTCAATTGTTATCCGGATTCGAGGGTAAACAGTTTGGCGCCCACCGTGGGGCCAAGGATATTGGTGAGCTCTTTGATACTCTTTCTTGACGCATCACAATACACTGGTTCTTTGCAAAAGAGCCCATATTACATTCAAATTACCAACTCATAGAATGGCACAATCAATTAACAACGAACTTGAACAGCAGACAGGAAGCAATGGAATGCCCGGGCTCGAAAACCCGATAGATGCCGGTTCCCGGATGGCGCTCAACACTGATCAGGCCTCCGGATCATCGCATAGCGTCCGGGGAGAGGACGATTCGAGGGCCCAGGCAGTCGGCGAAGAGACTATCAACCTTAAAATGATTTTTGACATGCTGCAAGCCCAGCAATCGGCTATAGCTCAGCTCCAGAGCCGGGTCCAGGAGCCTGTCAGGTCCGAGGAGGCTCCCCGTGCAGCTGCAATCATCAATCCAACCCCAGTACAGCCGGAACGGG